GAGAGAGAGAGATGTGATGGCAACGGCTAAGGAAATGAATTTGGTCCCTCAGTTTTAACGCAGTGATGGAATAACGTAAGTGAGTGACTCGCGAGGTGGGCGGAGAGAAGTAACAATGACACATCCACACAATGAAAACAAATGTATATAATGGTATGGCCCTTCCTTTGTTTTTTGTTCTTCCTATTTGATCTGTAGTTGCAAGCTTGCACGCTACTGCCGTTGTAGCAGTGTGTATATGAGGAGGAAGGGAATAGAAGGTGCGAATGAGGGGTTTCGTTGTTGTTGTTTTTGTGTATGTGTTTGTGTGTGGTTTCGCGGAGGTTCCATGCGTGGCAACGATTTACCTGTATGCGTGTTTGCCTGCACCATTGCAGGAAAAGGCACGAAAGAAACGATTTAATAAGAAAAATCACCGGCAAGAGATAAAGATGGATATTTTTCCAAGGTGTATAGTGTGAATGTACAGCTCCCCTCCAATGTTACTCTCTGGTCACCATCATGTAATTTCGTTGAATGGGTACGGCAGGAAGGATGTGCACCGGTTGGCTTGTCAGCATATGTTTTATACCTTCTGTCGAGCTTGTTCTGCCATTACCGTAAACGACCCTGTCGAATGGCTTTTTTGTTATATATTATTGCTCTTTACGATGCTCACTCTCACTTTCTCGTCATTGTATTGGGAACGTCAGATGACAGGAGTATCAATACAGACAGCGAATACAAATATATATACAAATATACATGTAGGGAGTTGTTGATTCTTTTTTTTTTTTTTGCTTCCTCTTTTTGTCATTTACTCTTGGATTCCTGCAGATCATTATGCAAGTGCATTGGGATGAAAATGTCCTTGTTACAAAAGCATTACACATGTAAAACACGTCCAGACCAGCCCTTGTTATTAGTGTTGCGTGTGAGGGGGTGGGGGAGGGGGGGGATGTGTGTTTTTTTTTGTGCTGTTGTCGCGGCTGCCGTGTTGCGTTTCACACGCGCATTCACTTTCTTGATTTTTTGGTGCGGGAAAAACATGAAAACAATAAAAAACCTTTGGATTGTGTACTCAATCGACTGCGTTGTTGACTGCTCTTATTTTTATTCTCTGCTGGGCGCTTCTTCGGATGTTGTTGTTTTTGCATGGCAGGGGGTGAAGGGTGCTGCTTGGCGTTGGCCGGGTTTTCCCACGCACGCGCCCACCAAGGAAGAGTACAATGTTGCAAACCCTGCAGCACTGACTGAAGGAGTTATATACATTTGGTTTGGGGAAAAGGGACGCATGGAGAAGAGTGTTTTTAAGAGGACGCCTGCGCAGATGTCTGGCGGGGCCAAGGGCTCCTTCTTCGCCTGCTGAGTGGGTTGCTGCTCAAGTGACGTGATATTGTGGAGTCGGTGCAGCAACACATTAAGATTACACACTGTTTATTTGGAGTCTCCACAAACGTCGTAGGTCGACGGCAGCTGAGCTGACTACATGACTGTAACGTGCCTGGTGAGGAAGGTGAGGTAAGAATAACGAAGGCATCATCGTCATCATCCATGCATCAGCATGGGCATCCTGTCCGCATCTCTGGAAAGGTCATTTGGTGGAATTGAGAAACATAAACCGTTTACTGTGCCGTCTGACTTAGCGACGGCAACGGCACAACGGCAAAGCTCTTCCTCATCTTCTGTGATGCCGTTTGGGCCTCCACCTGTACTTTAGCCCAATATTTTTTGATTAAAAGGAGTTTTTTTTTCTTTTGTTTTCGTTTTGTTTTTCCTAATCCTTGTGTAATTTATTTACTTTTGTGGGTTTTGTTGTGACTCTGTGTGATTGGTTGCTTTTATACCTTGTTGGTGGGGTGCGTTTGGGGATATGTTACATACATGTTTATCTGCATGTCTTTAGTAATGCATCTTCATTTGAATTCATTTTTATTTAAAGTTATATGTTATGTGAAAACACATGGACGCATAACACACACGTGTAATGTGAACTTGTCGTGAGTGTGTGTGTGTGTGTGTGTGTGTGTGTGTGCGGGTTCGCTGAGAAATGAAGTGGAGTCTGGAGGAAGATTGACGTTTTTGTCTAAGCAATTGGAATAAAAAGAAGGAAAGGAGCGAAGGTCATCACTTAACTGTTTTTTATTCTCTGGGTTGACTGCCAGTGATAGGTAGGCACAGCCTGAAAGGAAGAGTTACGGTCCTGCAGATGAAAGGGAGGACTAATCTTGTGGAACTGCGTGAATGCTTTTTTGTCTATGCGCCACGGCTCAAGTGCTTTTCCGCTCTATTGTCAAATGTTTTCATCCTTTTTTTTTCCTTTGTCTGTGTGCGTGTGTCACCGTTGTTGTTGTTGCTGCGCGTGTCAGTGGTTCTGTGTGTAAGTGCTGGGTTACGTATACGTGTGCATGCAGCTGCATATAATTCGGTCTGGTGTTTGTCATGGAGCATTGCATCACGTTTTTGCGTTCCTCCTTTTTTTTTGTTTGGTGTGCATGTAGGATTCTGATTGCGTTGATGCAGTGGCTGGACAAGAGTGGCGAGGCGAATCTTCGGGTGTTTGTTAACAATCAAAACACGCCCTTTGCCACTGTCACCCTCCCATCGCTACAGCCTGATGAACGGCAGAAACCAACGACGTTTGATGGCGCGTATGCTGAGTTAAAGCGGGACGTGCTTGCCTCATCTGCAAAAGGTGGCAATTACTTCATGGATGCCTCTGGCCTCACTTCCAATGGAAGGAATGCAAATACTTTATCTGGAATTATGCGGGAGGACGTGCATCCACAGCTGGAGGATGTCTACCAACGGGTTATGCGCCGTCTCCAAAGGAAGGCAAACTATGACGAGATTGGTTGCCCACCCCTTGCCGTTCAGTTTGGAATCGTTGATGCAATCGACGAGGAGCGAAGCCGAGATAAGAACGAGTATGATGCGGATGAACCACGCACCTCAGGGCATTCAACCTTGTTAAACGGCATTCATGCCAAAGGTGGTGGTTCAAAGCGAAGGCAACGCGGAATGGGCTTAGTACGATCGGCGGCGGCCAGCTCAGTAGGCAGTGAGGTTGAGGATGATACTCTTTTCTTGTCGCGGCAGCCGTGTCCCAGGACGCTGCGAATGGTCCTTGAGCAGGTGACTTCCACTGTAACGGAAAAGCTAAGGCTGGCAGACACGGGATCGTTGAAGAATTGCATTTGTTTCGTATTTGAGTGCCGCACGTTGTTGGAACGTCTGCTGAAGGAGATCCCTTCCTACTCGCAGTTTCAAGGGGAAGGGGAACGACTACCGACGGCTTCGCAGACACAGGAGATGTATCAAAAGCTTAGGCGGATACCGGTGGTGCTGCCGTGCGCACAGTTTGAAAAGGAGGCAACCGATGGCCATGTTGTGGCTTCTGTGTCCTGCAACGGGTTTCATCCTCGGAGCCCACTGCTTCAAGCCGGTGGGGAGCCGTCACAGCGAAGGCGGCAGCTGCAGCAAATGGAGGTGGTAGCCTCTTGTGACTCCTCCTCTGGTCATGCAGGAGAGAACTCTACCTCGGTTGAGACACAGGGTTGCAGCACCGGCGAAGAGGCACCAGAGACTGCACATGTGGGCAATGTTGTCATCGTCATTCCCCCCACATATGGTAAAAGCCAGAGGGTACAGCAGGGTGGTGGTCGTTCTATGCGAACGGGAGCGGGTGCGGAGTTCCGTGGCAATTCTCGCTTTTTTGGAGAAATGGGCCGCACAAAAGCATCTGCAACTCCTCTGCGTGAAAGATCGTTTGATATTAAAGGGATGAAGGAGCCTGTGTCCCCTCTGGCCGTCTCCGCCACGACCGCTACAACCAATCACACAGCTTCTGTTATTTCTCATAGTGGTAGCAATGTTACTGCGTCGACCGGGGGCCCAGTGCCCTCGCTATCCCATGCGGAAAATGAGTGGCTTGGGAAACAAGTCTTTTCGGTTGGCACCCTCACTGACATTAACAACATGTCCGTTGTGAATCGAGAGGAGTATGATGAGCTGCAGGCATACGCAAGGACGCTTATTGTGGAGATTGAGGAGCAAAAGCAAGAATTGTGTAAGCTTCAGGAACAATTAAGTGAGGAACGGGAGTACACCACACAAAAGCGGAAGGTGGTTCAATACCTGCGGGAGACACTTTACAAGGAGTGCAACATTCTTCGCGCTCAGCTCTCCGCGGCGCAGCAGAGGCAAATTCATTATCAGAGCCTGTTGAAGGAGCAGCAACAGGCTCTTGCACATGCCTCAAGTGTCGTGAATGGCGAGGGACGCTCCGGAGTCAGTGTTTCTGCACATGAGACACCACGTCTTCCAAACATTAGCGGTACACGTGTTGCCCAGGGTGAGGCCTCCGTGATAGGGCTTTCCATGGCTCCAGGTTTTCATAGTTCTCGGCGTTTCAATCCAAATGTCTCTTTTGTAAGTATGATCCGTGGTAGTGTTAACGCAGAAGAAAATGAGGATGGTAATTGCTCTGATGTGGGGGGTGTGTCTCATGTGCAGAAACACTGACTCCAGTC